TGATATATTTTCTTCTAGACTTGAGAACTTAAAACTTGTATACTATTAAACTATGGATTATTAGCTAATATTTTATGCCATTCTAATTGGTATAACATAAACAAAAAGTAGTTTAAAATTTTGAATGTAAGACGCCTTGTGTCATGCACAGTAAAGGGTACCTGGGGCAACAGGGTTAAACATGTTTGCCACGTATTAAAGCAAGGCTCACACAGAACTTGATAAACCTTGAATTTCTATCATAATCTGTCCTTTAGTTTTATATGATTAAGCCTTTCAGAAGTTTTGTGAGGTCAGTCTTCGCATTCGTCAGAACGACACCTCATCAAAAGTTTTATGAGGTCAGTCTTTGTCTTAACCAGAAGTTTTGTGAGGGTAAATTTTGTATTTGTCAGAACAACACCTCATCAGAAGTTTTGTGGGGTCAGTCTTTCTCAGAATGACACCTCATCAGAAATTTTGTGAGGTCAATATTTGTCTTCGTCAGAACAACACCTCATCGGATGTTTTGTAATGGGCCAAAACCTGGAAGTTGTCAATTCTCACCTGAATTTCTGTTATTGGGAATCCTTGAAAAAAAGCAATTGAAATCTTAAAAAATCCATAAAAAGTCTTTGGATATTATCAGCATGACTGCGTGTGAACAGGTTTATTAGATATTAAACTAGAATTATCAAATTTTTATTATTAAACCTGAAAGAGAAATGATATTGTGGGAGTACCGAAAGTTATCTGAAGTTTCTAGAATTAGCTTTATTGCTCTGTTGAAAATTCAAAACATTTATTGAAAAATATCCCAGTACATTATGTATTTTAGATTTTAATTATAATGCGGTTGGAATTCAAATTTTATATTCAGAAAACAGTTTTCATCATATAGTTAATTTCAGTATAAATACATATATACTGTGAGTAGATCATTTCAGAAATAGCTATTGTAAAACATATTTTTCTTCTGTAAAAAGTGTGTATTCTGCAATGTTCATATGAAACCTAGTATTATGGAGTTTTTCTAATTATATGTTTGTATTTTTAGGTTTGGTTGCTGCTGCCAGTCTTGGAGCAGGAATGCTGGGGGGTGGTCTTGGGCTGATGGGATTGAATTCCATGAATGCAGGTTATTTATTGACTTAGCTACTCTTACAAAGTACATTAGTTATAATTCATGGGCACATGTCCCTCTTAATAGTTTTTAAGATACATAAGTGGTAACAGATTAATTCAAATGCAGATAAAGTTTATAGACCTTTTATTTTTGTTGGAGATATGTAAATTATGAAACTGTAACTGCCCCTCATCCCATGGTACCTTTCTTTTGGAATTGAAACATATAGTTTGTCTTCAAATATTTTCATTTGTAATTGCACGTAGGTTACATAAATTGTCTATTTAAACACAATTTATCTACAAATTTAAGTCACACGAACTTTAGACTGTACCTGAGTATTGGTGCTGGCTAGCTATAGAGTTTTCACATGACATCATTATAGAAAATATCAGTCTTGTAATTAATTTGTTTACTTAGAATGACAAGAAAACCCCTTATAAGTACTCTTATAATGATAACTTAATGTAGTGGGGATAGCTGTTCAAACAGTCAGACAAAGATAAAAACACTTGAATTTTCTCTGATCACAACATATTGGTGACAAACATTTCTTTAGACTAAGATATATGATGTCATCGGTATTGAGTTATATACTTGTAATTGTTTGCTAGCCTAATGATGTATAGTAATTGAATAGTGTTTAAGTCAAATGTTATGTTGATATTTGATACTAAAGGTTTTCAATGGATTTTAAAGATTTTTAACCTCACAACAAAAAAAATGATGCACTCTGAAAAAATATTAGTCATGTTCTATATAAGCACAATAAAGTTCTCTCTGTCAGATTTTGGATGAGGATTTTTTAGCAAGAAGTAGACATAGTTTTAAATATGTAAAATGGTACAGTTTTGATCATTAGAATAACTGAAAGTAGACTAGGTTACATAAACATTGCACTAAGATATATATAACTATCATTAATATATGTGAATCAGTTCTCATAAATGTTGATATTTTGTTAAAGATTTTAAAATATGAGTCATTCTTACTGATAAATATAGCTACAAACTTTCCACCATCACATGACACCTCACCAACTGTGAATCAGTTGCTTTATGTCAAATGCTATATTTTAAATTAGACTTGAAAATACCAAGAAACTTGAGTGCTTCCGATTCTTGTTCAGGAGCAAAATGGGTAAATATTAAAAATTATAGGGTAATAAATAAATACGTGTCATGTGAGCAAAAGATGTTTTGTCAAAGTGGCCATAAAAGCTGGCCAATTCAAATTTAAGAAAGATGTGACATTATGCATTGGAATTGTTGAGGCCACCTCGACAAACACTTTGCCTGACACGTATTTCTTTAACCTTTTCAGTCCTGAAGAAGAATACACAAGTATTTGAAAGTGTTCAAGTTCTTTGTGGTAATTCTTTCTTCAGCAGTTTTATGATGTTATATGACATCAGAAAAACTTTTGGATCAAACTTGCTTATCTGTGTTATCCTCATAGTTTGCTGAAAACTTACAAATGTGATTGGAATGTTCTTCACTAGCTGTCAACCCTATTAAAAAAAACTATCAAAAATTATAGGGTTTTGTTTTTGATTTAACCCTTATGTTTTTCCTACCATTAGGAGATGCTATCGTACCGTGGTCCTATTGAGTGGAGATGTTGTATGATGAAATTACACCATTGCCACTATTAAGATTTAAATCAGTTATCACCTAATCCCAATTTTAGTATCCCAAACTACCAAATTTTGAGTAACAACGTTCAATGCAACAGTAATTTGTCAGTAACACTAATTTCACTGCAGTATGAAGATACTGTGTGTGTGTGTGTGTATATATATATATACTGCTTAAAACAAGGATGTGATTGAATCACATTACCCATAATAAATTCCCTTTTCACAAACCAAATAGCTGATACAAATAAATATTTCCTTTTGAGTTTTTATATCTGTTGTATAATATTAAGAATTTACACCAAAAGATGTTTTCACATTTTGTTAATAAATATTTCATATATACAAAATTGTCATTTGAATAAGAAGAAAAACTAATTATTCAGATTAATATTAAAACAGGTGAAGCTTCCATAATAAAATGTTGCATTATAATGAAACTTGCTGTTAGTACTAATTTTCTTTTGTATTTTTATACTAGAAATTTGATGATGATTTATATTAACTTTACAGGAGTTGGTGGAATGGGAGGTGTTGGAATGGGAACTGGTGGCTTAGCTAATATGATGAGCAACACAATTGGGAGCCAGCCAGTTGGAGGTTTGGGTGGAATAGGAGATCAGGGAATAATGAATTCTGGTATGGGTGGAGGTCTGTCTGGAACAATGGGAACTGGTTTGAATATGGCTTCAGCAACAGGACTTGGAATGGGTAACACTGGTGGTGGTAACATTATGGGTGGATTTGACCTTGGCACTGGAGGTTCTGGAAATTTGGGAGGCCGAATGAAAAATTATACAGATATCGATCGCCTTGGCTTTGAAAACCACTTAAGGAGCTCTGATACTGTCACTGTCAAAAATGTGAGTTGTCATTTTAGAGATAACACTTAATCAGAGGCATTACTAGGTATTTAAGATTTTGGGTGCGAGGATTATCGGTGTTTCATTATGTTATCAATCATGGTTTTCTATTATAATTTTTCAAGACACCAACTGGAAATTTGGGAGATGGGATCCATGTGCCAGTGCCTAGTGCTGCCTCTGCTATCAGATTTGGAAATAGTTTTGTAGTTCATTATATTAGTTGCTTGACTTGTTATAGAGTTTTAATTATTAGAACTTATTAATTCTTAACCAGCATAAATATAACTTACAGCAGGCTTAGTGACAAGATTGTCATCATTCTAGTAACTTTTTTCTTATGTACCAGAGGTCAAGCCATTGTAATACTATATAATCATAACAGATACATTTACATATTTTACTGTATGTTTGTAATTATATGTTTTCTGTACCAGATACAGTAGTCCATGATAGATACGACCCCTCTCAATAATGACTTCCTTTTAAATACAGCTTTTTCTTTTTCTGTGCACGGAACAAATTATTATATGTTTACCTGACCTTCCACAAACAACTTCTTGATGTATGCGACATACGACCATAATATTTGGGTGGAAGGTCGAATAATGACTCTTCTTTATATCAATAATGTAATTTACAGAGACACATGAATACAGTGTATACAGTATGTAACAAAGAGGTCACATGACAGGAGATTGCGTCACAGCTAAGTATAAGTATCTTGGTAACCTGAGGTGTTAAAGTCAAACTCCTTGGTACATACATGTAGGTATTTTGGTTTTAAAACTTTCAGGTCCTGTAAAGTAAACAGGGGCAGTCAAAAACTCATGTTTGTCTCCACCCCACTCTCAGAATTATGGTTTATTCTTTTAGTGAATGTAGTTTATTTTGAGCTAGTGGGTTGTGAAGATTATTAACTCACAGTTTGTTGAGTGACAGACTCAACTAATTTGTGTGGTATGCATGACTAATAAAATGTCTCAAGCTGAGAACAGGAAGTCACTGTGAAGAAGAAGAAGGCTTGAAGTGTTGATGTTGATATAAGCCAAATTTGTGACGAAAGCAACGAGATAAACAAAACGTGGAAATAAGAGAATTTTTGGTCAACTTGAAATTGTTTTAATGCAACATATTACATTTTATGTAGCATCTGTATTCGGAGAGGATTACTTTATTAGGTATTGTCTAGAGTCTAGCAATAATTTAGTTCAGATATTTATTCTTATTTCTTTACTGGTTCTTTTAAATTTGTGAAATGGTCCCTTTTTAGAGCTGGGATCAAAGGATCCAAGTTTCAAGGTGAAATTTTGGTTTAGGGTGAGGCTGTTTTGTTCATTTAAGACATGTAGCTTCCAATGTTTAGTTCTTTGTTTAAAATAACAGTGTTTTATATAATTAAACTGGGGATTTTATATGTATGTAATAAAAATGTTATACGTAGATGTTCATGAAATAATTGTGATCACTTAATAAACTATTTTATATAAAACAAAACAATTTTAAGTTATCTTTATTGAACTGTTATCCATCATAACTTTAATTATTATACAGTGTACCAGTATACTACATTATCTGACTACCAATACAGTATATTAACCAATAGCAACTGGCACAGCTTGAACTCTGTTGTTCATTATCTGGTTATTGATCCTTTGAATAATGACTTCTTGTCAGATGTGACTTTTTTATCATGGCAGATAGGTCAGTTGTATCTAAGAGGGACTACTGTATCAGGCAAAATAAGAGTAGTAAAAAAAGCCTAGAAATCTTGTGGTTTCTAACGAATCTAGTAATCCTTATAAATAAAATCTTCAGTCCGTGAACTAATTTTTTTCTAAACTTGTAACACTTCTATAAAATGATAAATATTTTTAGTCGTAAAATAGTTGTTGTAGTTAAATTATCTTTAAAGTGTAAGCTACAAAAGATATGTTTTTAAACATTCATAAGGAATGAGTTATTTAATATTTTTTTAAATTATGTATTAAGAAATATTGTCACTATTTAATAATTAGACTTAGGTGGTCATATGTGTCTACTAACCATGACCACAATATTGAGAAACCTATTAGCACTAGTCATGGCAGCAGCTGGGTACATAAACAAAAGTTGTGCTTCAAAACAAGGAGTGTAATAATTGTTCAACATTTTGTACATCTTAATCCATCAAAAAACGTTTTTGCTGTTCCCACTTCCATCAGTCATTTCTTTATGCCGTAAAACATTTTCTCATATTTTGGTATGGTATGTGTGTAAGGTTATCTAAAGCAAATATACCAGATGTATGAAAAATATGTTATTTTTCTTGGAGTGTGAATATATGTTTTAGCTTTATCACAAAGTTTTTGTTACACATGCTTGGTGCATGATTTAGTGAGGTAGAGTTAATTATTAATTATTCTCTCTTCACTTGGGAATTACTTTTTCATTAGTGAAATTGTTTAATATCTTATGATAATGTAATTGTTAGTACTTAATTTGAACATTGTAATATGTAAGACTTGTTTAATAACATTATTTCCCTGAACTTTGTGTTATCAGCTTCCACATTCCTACAACTGGCAGTCCTTGCGAGATAAGTTTAAAGATATAGGTAAGTTTTGTCATTGTGTGTGGTATGCTATATAAACGTTTACTTGTGTAAGAAAATACATTTATGTATATTGATGAATTTTTCTCTCCTTTGTGTTGTAGAGGTAAGTATAATACATTTTAGGTATAATTTATATTGCTCATTTGTAGTAGCAATGAAATTATTTTCTATTGTTTTAAATGACAAAGGTTGTATATGAAGAAATATATTAGCATATCCATAACTGATTCTTAGATAAAATAAACTTTAAGAGTTACATCTACTATTATATAGCTGTTCTTAGGTAATAAACCTTAAGTGTTACATATACTATTGTATAGCTGTCATTAGGTAGAATAAACCTAACGAGTTACATGTACTATTATATAGCTGTTATTAGGTAAAATGAAGCTTATGAGTTACATGTACTATTATATAGCGGTTTCATCCAGAGAATCAAGAGACCAAGTGGATAAAAAAGAATGTCTGTCATATACAATTGCCCCCTTTGTGCAATTCAAAAATTGATTCTGAAAGATGTGTGGTTAAGTTTTTATATCATCCATTAGAAGTCTTCTTATTCATATCCTTGAAAGTTATCAACTTGGTCTTTGGCAATGTGTTGTGATTTTTTTGTTATTGCAACTTTAGCTGTAGAAATTGTTCCTGTATTGCAATATTTTGTAGTGGCTGTTCATCTCGCATTTTCTCACACCACCACCATCTGGAGTTGTGGTATCCACATTTGTAGTCTTCTTAATGGTTTTCCTTGACCCTCTGAACTGAGAACCTGCTATCTTCAAAATATATTTTATCATCATAGTGCTGGTAGTCTTATACCTTTGTGCTTAATAAACAACAAGCATAGTTTTTTCATCGGTTCATAACTCTTATGAGAGTCAGGTGAAGTTTTCAGTCGTTCTCTTTGGTGGACCAAAACAAATTCAAAAGAACTTGATATGTGATTTCTAACTAAGAATCCAGTAAGCTGACTATGTCCTTTCTGGCTTATAAGGAATTAAAAATACTCGTCAGTTAATGCAAGAAGGAAAGAAATGTTTCCATGGATGTTGGTAAGTGTTGCTTGACATACATCATGATAATCACTAGTTGTTTATTCGGTTTCGTAAGTGTTCTCCATTCTCTAGAAGATTCTCTTCAACCAATGGGAGGAAACTTTCATATGCTATTTGCATTAATGCTTCAAATGCACATTTTTGTGCAGACTACCGTAACTAAAAGACATTTCAGACACAAATTGAAACTCTGCACAGACACATCTTGGAGTCTAGCATTTTGATATAATTTTCCAATGGTTGGAAGAATGTTACGAATTCTAAAAATTGTGGCTGGGTGAAGGATCACTTTTTTAAAAATGTTTAGACTGTTTCTTTACAATTTCACATGGCTTGGTGTAGGGTATTTGCAGTGATTACAGTTTGATTTTCAATTCTTGTATACAGTTGACATTTCAGTTGCTTGTCCATTGTAGGTAGATAACCAATAGTGTCATATAATATCACTGAGGACTTTGGTGATGGTAAATTTCATATAAGACTTGGGTTTACTTGATGTATCATCAACCAGAGTAAGTTTTTCCTCTACTGATTAAATAGTTTGTAGAAAGGAAGCTGTAAATTGCCAACACCTGTGTTTCTTTATGTTTCACTCTAATTGTGCTTCTCTGTATGGTTCAGACTCTACAATTCTGGGTTGGATTGCTCTACTATTGATTCCATGGGATATTTCTTCATTTATGTGTTATCCAATCTAAGAATCGATGTATGTTTACTGGAAGTGTAACCCTCCATAATACAGAGGCCTGTTTCATTTTCTTCAGCATGGAAGTATAAAATCCTAGTCTAAGGTGAATCAAGAACTTGATAAATTCCACATTCTATTTTGGTGACCTATCTACACATGACAACAGTATATGTTTTAAGGGGTTTTACTTTACCAAAGGTAACAACATAAATATCTTGGGCAGATGAATTCACTGTCATCATAACTTATTTCGAATCACTTTCAACAGTCTATTCAAGGATATGAGTATATTTTTCAATAAGAACTGAAGGAAGATGGCCATGTTGAATCTGAATCTTCCCTTTGTGACATAACTTGTATACTGCCTGCTCTATTATTTTGATTAGATTGCAAAATTTGTAATTTATCTTTAGGTGCTGTCTGTTATTTAGCTGTATTTTTTTTTTTTTTTTCAGCATAATTTTGATGGTATTTCATGAAAAATTCTGTTATTATTTGGGAAATTATAATTGTTTCACTCATTAAATTCAGTCTCCAGTGTATGTTTATTTTTTGAATCTTTAATCTATTCATATCGATAACATTGATGTGAATTGCCATTTTTATATTAAGAAACCGTTATTATAGCATAGTTACAAGCCATTAGGTAGAAACAAAAGTGTTAGTCAATGTGAATTACCATTTTTATATTAAGAAACCGTTATTATAGCATAGTTACAAGCCATTAGGTAGAAACAAAAGTGTTAGTCAATGTGAATTACCATTTTTATATTAAGAAACCGTTATTATAGCATAGTTACAAGCCATCTTGTGAATCTATTACCTCAACTGTTAATTCAATAATTTTTTTATGTAGAATTGTTTAAAAACAGAAGTTCTAATGTAATTCTAGAAAGTGGAATAAGCTTCACTCTCAGCCTGTTATTGAGTATGGACTTTTGTTTATCTGTATTATTTGTATAATGTCTACAGTAAGAAGAATGACATACTGATTATATAATGAGCTTCTTTGGACACTAGCTAGTATTCATAACCCTCTTCTCATAGTTTTACTGGATGAAGTTTGAGTTCACTGTCACAAAACATAAATACAAGTACATACACTGTACTAGTGCTTGGTTGTTGTCTGTATGATTTTGTGAGTATTGTTTTTCTTGCAGTAAACATAAATATTCTTCTTGACAGTGAACTCCAAATGTTTTCATTGTGAAAATATTCCTCTTAATACTGCAACTGTATGTGTAAGGTTAATGGTCGGCAAATGTTCTGTTAATTAATAGTAATCCATGAGTCATAAGTCAACTTTGAGTTTATATCTGTCTCACCTAAGTCTAGAGGCTATGTATGTTTTTACTATCACTCATAATTAGGACTTTATTGTTAATTGTAATTATTATTGAAGATTATTAGCAATTCATGTGTTAGAAATTATGATAAATTAAAAATCAGATTAATACAAGTCAGCAAAGTATGTTTGATTAGTTTTCAGTATTCTTTATTTACTTGATCATTATAACAATATTTTTACACAGACTTTCAGTTAGAATTTTGTTTGTATCATTGAATGTAATCTTTAATTTTTAGTTTAATGTTTAACATTGGATTAACTTGTTAAAAACACCTACAGGTGATGTGCGATTTGTGGAGTTCAAGAAAGGAACTGCTTACGTACGTTTCAGCTCAGAACGAGATGCACAGCGTGCAGTTGGTATCCTTTTAAGAACTTGTATATTTCGTTTTTCATTGCAGAGAGTATTTGATTCTGTGTAGTTTAAAAAATTGAACATTTACCTGAAGCTAGTAGCAAAACTGGAAATGAACAAAAACACAGTTGTGTATAGTGTCTTAGCATTTAAAGCAGCTCTTAACCAGCAAAATGCTTGGGTTGATGTAAGTAAATATGGCTGTGTATTTGACCTAAGTTTCAGTATAAAATCAACAACTCGTTGTTAAATGAGATAACACAAACTAATATTAGTTACAAAACAAATGTTTTGGTGTACACCTGTATATTGTAGTTTGCCTGCATACTTTTAATGTTTCTGTTAAACCTAGTGATAACTTCTGTTTCAGTCAAACAGCTAGGGATCAGATATTGTGTGCTTTATCATCTGTTGTTTCAAACTGTGTATCCTAAATATTCTTACTTTATGATCAGTCAGTTCTGTTTTGTAAAGATGAATAACTATATCTGAAAGATAAGTATATGTATATATATATTATATTAAAGCATGATAACCATTGAATGTTATATTTGTTTTGTAAATATGAAGTTTATAATTGAATCAAAACCACTGTAACAATTCTCTACGGTCATTACATACCATAATTATTTGCTGTGCACTAACCCACTTCTTTAAAAGACATTTTACAATAAAATGTCCTGTATATTGTTCAAACTAATGTAAACAAAAACCTAGCATTAACCCTTTTGCCCTGGGTATTCTTTACTGTGCACGACAGAAAGTTTTGGTGTCTTACATTCAAAAGTTTATTAAACTACTTTTTGTTTATGTTAATTTAGCATAAAATCGTATCTAGTAATCCATATTTTAATAGTATATAAGTTTTAAGTTCCTAATTCTAAAAGGCAATATTAAAAAACATCCTGAATTTCCTTTAGTGTGACAATCTTAACATATTCTCTCTGGGCATCTTGTCTTCTCTATTTTATCCACCACCCCTTGAAAAAGTATGAAATTAAACATAAATTACTCTCTGTAGAAGTGTCACTGCTCAAACAAACCATAATTTTTATAGCGTTCAATTTCGGTTTGTTACAGAGTTATAAATAGAAAATCACCCTTTCTGTCACATCCTCTCTTTCAGGCTTTGTTAATAGTTCTTGTTTACATTTAATTACATATAACCATTAGAAAGTCAAGGTTTTCATCTATCAAGTGACGTATTGTAAAACATTGTGTTCTAAACAGATAAGCATCAACTTCACTCTAGAGTAAAAGCTTCATTCCCATGGGAAAGTTAATGACTAGCTTGGATGAATTTGTAATGGCTCTTGTCCTATAGTTAGAAAGTGAGAAAAATTTTGAGAATTAGGGGAAATTGTCTGTTTTTTGCATGTTTAGTCTATGTTCTTTGGTGCATTATTTAATTAAATAAAAATTAAGTGCATAACTATCTATAGTATATAAAATTAGGGTTAACTCTCATCGAAAACTCGAGAGCAAGAAAAAAGAAGATTGGGTAAGTACTTTATTTTTTGATTTTCATATTTATTCTTTATTTATTATTATAAAAGTAACTAAAATT